ACAGTCTCATTTATGTTATCCAAACATATAAACGTTACTCCTGTAATGTAAGTCTATTATGCATTACAAAAACGAAAGCAAAATATTTAATACTTTAGAAATATATAGTATTTAGAAACATATTACTCAGCTTGAAGGCAACAGTGTATTATCCAAACACCAGAGTAGTCTATGATACAACAGAGAAGATGCTGATAACATCAAAATAGCAATTATTTTAAACCAGACACAAGATGTTAATATATTTTCATTTAATGAAATCCAAACTATAGACATCTCCATAATTACTTGATGATTAAAGCATATATAGTCTTTTCAGAATGAATTTACCTGATCAAATCGTAGAACAGGTTCATTTGTATTATCAAAACTATACACTTCCACCATTCCATCATCTCTCCCAACAAGTAAATCTTTAACCCCATCACTCACGATGTCAAAGCTGTCAACACACAAAATACCTTTAAAAAATAAAAGTGGTAAGTTATTAGAAAAACTAATAGTCAAGTATATATCAAGCACATACCAAGTAAAAATGAAAAAAAAATGTATATATCAAATAAAAATGGGAAAAAAAAACTTTTGAGCATAACAGATGCCCTTCTCCTCTCCATCCCTATTTATCCATGTCAAAGCCTTTAAATATAATCTATATGGCCCCCAAGTTTACATCTCCAGCTCTGGCCTCTCTCCAGAGCTCCAGACTCATATATTCAAATACCTTTGCAGCATCCATCTTCTCTTAGATATCTATCTGGCATCTTAAACTTTCCATGACCCAAACAACTCTTCATTCCCCTCTTTCCCAGCACCCCCTCAACACTGCTCCTTCCCCAGTTTTCCTCTGTCTCAGTAGATGGTACCCCCCAGGTGGGCAGGATGAAATCTAGGCTTCATGTTTGAGTCCTCTCTTTCTCTCATTTCCCATATCAAATCCATTAGTAAATCCTATTAGCGCTACCTCCAAAATATATACTGAAACTGTCTACTTCCTCCCATTTCCAGCTACCATTAGCCTAGTCCGGGTTACCAGTATCTCTAGTGTAGACCAGGATAAACTATAATAACTACAACAATAATTCCCTAACTGGGCTCCATACTTCCATCTTTGACCCATTCTTGTCAAAATTCATTCTCCTTGGTGCTTTGCTTTGTTGTTACTAAATTGGGTCATGTTACACTCCCACTTACAATTCTCCAGTGACTTCCCACTGCACTTAGACTGAAATTCAAACTCTTTGCTTAGGCTTACAAGGACCTATACAATTTAGTCTTACCCTATTTCTCCAACTTCATCACAATGCCATGCTAATGCATTTAGCCACACTGGCCATCCTTGTTGCTGTTCTTAATTCCTACTGTCCCTCAAATAAGTCATGTTTACTTTTGCCTTAAGTCCTTTGCACTTATTTTTTTCTGTTCCTGAGACATTCTTTTTCCCAAATCTTTACACTGCTAACTTCTTTTCTTACTATTCGGATCTCAGCTCAAATTTCACCTTTTCTAAGAGGCCTTCCTTGACCACCTAAAGTCGCCTCCTCCTTCCACCATCACTCTCTAACACATTGCCGTTATATTTTCTTTAGATGACTAGCTGGAGCTGACTTATTTATTCTGTCTCCCCCAGTAAGCATTTGTTGAAGAAATGAATGACTATATGAATACAGATCAAGTACATACAGCCATCTCAACCACTTACCATGTCAGGAATAAATTCCTTAGAAAACAGGAATGTTCCTTCATCCACTGCACTTCTTCCTTGCTTCATTCCAAATACTCCCAGATTATAATTAATTCCCTACCTTAGCCAATTAAAAATGGATTTTAGCATAGCATGATGTCATAGATGGACATTAGCCCATAAAAGCCTATCTATCCCAAGCTAAATAATTATGCTAATAGTATGACAAACCTGATAAATAAATACACATTAGGTAAATCTGAAGAGGCTCTGTGAATTGCTAAAGTCTGCTATATCATATAAATAAAAAAGTATTAATTATATAATCTGGAATATTTTACTCAATAGTCACTGACACTTCCGAATCTGAACCACATCGAAAACATACCTCCCCTCTTTTTCTCATTTCGAATTTCCCACTTCTGTATGGGACTGGATGTAGTGATCTGAATAAGCCCAAGTTTTCCATCTGATGTTCCAAACAAAAGGTCTTCTCCAGAGTCACCTAAGAGATAATTAAAGTCAACATATTATATTTATTCCACATACTCATAATGACTTTTTAAAATTAAAATATTTTCATATACACTGACTTTCATGTAAAAATTTCATTTTATTTTCGTATGATAAAAAGATAGAAAATGAAATTTGGGAGGATGGCTACATATTCACAGAAGTTTACAGCCACAAGAGACAAGACCCTTCCCCATAATCTAATTTTAAGATGAAGAAACTGAAAATTGAAGTTCAATAACCCATTACTATTAGTTACTGGCAAGATACCAGAAGATAATTCTCACAGTTCCAATTCATTTTCTTTCTACAGTTTTCCATTTTTCACTTAATGTTTTTTATAAACATGTAGTTAGGTTATTAAAAATCTAAAATATCCAGACTTAAATAACATAAAGCACTCCCTTATGTGACTGTAAAAAATGAAACCCCAATTACCGCCATTTCCATTGTGTAGTGCTAAGACAGTAGGAGGTCCAGGAACTTCAACTTCATACATGAGGTCAGATCCCTGAGGGAGAACAAGTATTTTAAAACTGAAACAGAGTACCATTTTATTACAGTCACAATAATGGTTACAGATATAACTTGCACTAAGAAAGAGGTCTGAGCCAAATACGTGCCTGAAAACATAGATAATTATCTATATTCTAATAAGGTACTCTTAATAACATCCAAAATAAAACTACTGGGAAATTAGGTTGTGAATATTAACTTACATTACTGCATTGTTGTTACGTGCCGTCAAGTCAATTTCAATTCACAGCGACCCTATGTGACGGAGCAGAACTGCTCCGTAGGGTTTTCTGGGCTGTGATCTTTACTAGAACAGCCTTTCAGTTAGCAGCGGAGCACTTCACCAACCACTGCCCCACCAAGTCTCCTGTAACTTACATTACAGGTAGGAAATTCCAAAGATGGAGATAGCCTGTGGTGACACGGAACTCATAGCTAAACTTTTTGTTCAACTGCAGCAATTACCTAAGTTTCTGATTCAATTAATCCACCTGTTACATGTTATTTACACTTAAATGCTATTTTAATGGTTCTGTAGTGTGTCTATATGTGTGTGCATTAGAAGTCACTCTCAAGAAGAGGTGGTAGTGATTATTATTATTTCTAATGAAAATAACCTTAACCGGTTGCTTTAGCCAATCATGGTTTTTAACAGAAATATAAGGATACCAAAATGATTGTTCTCTTCTCTTCTATAGCTCACTTATTTATCCAACAAATACTTACTGAGTGCCTACTCTGTTCCACATACTGTCAAGAACACTAAATTCAAGTTTTTATAATCCTGATCTCAGCTATTCCTTGTTAAAGCCTAAGACCCTCTCCCCAAACCAATTTCCTCTTTTAATTTGATTGGGGGAGGGGGGTGGTAGAGGAAGCAGACAAAAGAAGAAAAGCTGGACTGGGGAGGATCTCTGGAGAGAAAGTACGTATTCCATTCAGGTAGTACTAGTTCAGAAATGTGAATGGGAAAAAAAGTATCTTTTTTCTTCTGTATATGCCTCTCCAAAACCTGGCCAAAGATTGCAACACACTTGCCTCAAGTACAAAAAGCAAAAAAATCAATTTATCAATTTTTTAAATTTCCAGATACAATTTTATGTACGGCAATTAAAGTAGTATTAATCACTAAAATAGTTTATCTCAAGTACACATTGTTCATCAATATTCATTTACCCAAATTATGAAAACGCAAATGACAGCAACCTGTAAAACTCTGAGCACTCTGTCCTGGCAGGCCAAAACTGGTGTGATACGAGATACTCTTTCCACTGGAAGACAGATGATATCATTGATTTTGTCCCCAGAAAGGTAATAATGTTGGTCTTTGCAGTCACAATAATGGTTATAGATATAACTTGCACTGAGGAAGAGGTCTGAGCCGGATATGTGCCTGAAAACATTAAAATAGCAATTTAAGATAGTCATATATTTAAAATAAACAGAGCTATCCTCCTGAATTTTTTTCAGAGACGAAACAAAAGTTTATGTACAAAGTTTACTCTCATTTATCACAAACTTAGAGAACAGAATTTTTTTTCATTTCACCCACTTAATTTCTAGGTGAAAATGAGGCACCCTAAGGCCGTAGGCGCCTCAATAAAAATTGAGTTCAGAAAAGCTTAAAGTAACTTGCCTAGGCACAAAACTAGCAAGTACTGGAGTGAACTTTAACTCAGGTAGTTTAGTTCTAGAGCTACCTTTGTTACTACCAACCTAAATTGCCTGAGAAAGGCTATTTGAAGTGAATCTATTTTAAACGATTAACAGCAAAAAAAAAAAAAAAAGGTCTGATTAGAGCTTCATCCTGAAAAATGGAAATAAAAATAAGTTCATTTCAAATTTAACAAAATTTAGGCAATGATCACAGCAAAGTTCTAATCCTTAGACTGAATCAAGCTTCCATTTGGGGGAAACTGGGGCACAATCACATACTAGTGTAATAAATCTTTCACTGCTAGATTGCTGTCACCACATGATCACAAAGAGAGCCATTTTATTTGAAGGCTTCACCAACTTCTCCACCTCCAAGGAAGGTCTTTAAAAATGTTATTGAATGTTTTCATGTTATAGTCTTTGCAATCTTATAATTGTGGGGATTCAAATAGTAAACATTCAAAAATTGAGTAAAACACCTTTCCATCCCACCTCTGCCATCCCAGTAAAAACACTTAAGAAACTAATGAGTATTACTAATAATAGGTATATTACAGCTTAAAATCTAAAACCAACCTTGCTTTTAGTATTTCATAGTCATCACTGGCCAAATCTATCTACAAAAGCATTTCAAGTGTTACTTTCCTGTTGAACCAGTGAAATTATTTCCACTTGCTATTGTTATACTCTTATCTAATTTCATCAAGCCAAAGTTTTACAGCTCATCCATGTCACTCTGCAGATGTTTGCCTAGCTGTGCATTATACAGAACTCTGGACTAAATCAGTAGTTCCCCAACTTAGGTCTGATTGCGTTTACAACCAGGCTGCATCAGAGTCAAATGATGAAGTTTTTTTTAACCCACTCTTGGTTATTCTGATATAGCAGGTAGGAGGTAGGGGCAAGGAATCTATTTTTGGTTGGTTGGTTGTTTAAGCTTCCCAAGGGATTCTCACAATTAACAGGTTTGAGAAACAGTGGATTAAATCAACTTTAAAGCCTTGTCTATCCCTCCATGATTCAAACACTAAAATTTTAATTGCCAATTTTCACACATATCAGGAGGCTTTTGAGGGAATTATTTTTCACTTAGGGCTCACCTGAAATTATACCCTGTTAGTAGTCATGAACATTGAGGGCCAGCCTTTTAACAAAATGATGCTGGCTGAGAACACCAGAGAACAACCAGAGACAGCTGAGGAAAAGGAACTTAAATCTGGAGGTTTCTTTCACTTTTTCCTCTTTGCTTTGATCATGAACAATAACTGAACCAAGAAGTCAAAAATGAATGTAAAAACATTATAAAGGTCTTAAAAAGAAAATAACATTTCAACAACCAATCAATTTTGGATTGATTTCAAATATAATTTCAGATTAATAAAGTACCTTTAAACCTGTTGCCATTGAGTCAATTCCAACTCATAGCGACTTACAGGACAGAGTAGAACTGCCCCATAGGGTTTCCAAGGCTGTAATCTTTACGGAAGCAGACTGTCACATCTTTCTCCCATGGAGCGGCTGATGGGTTCAAACCGTCCACCGTTTAGTTAGCAGCTGAGCGCTCTAACCACTGCACCACCCGGGCTCCTTAAAGTACCTTTAGTTGTATTTCCCAGAAAACCTTTTAAGATACTTCATCAAATGTTCCACATTTATCCCAAACCTGTTGCCTTCGAGTCGATTCAACTAATAGCAACCCTATACGACAGAGCAGAACTGCCTCACAGGGTTTACAAGGCTGTAATTTGTACAGAAGCAGACTGCCACATCTTTCTCCTGCAGGGCAGCTGGTGGGTTCGAACCGCCCACCTTTCTGTTAGCAGCCCAGCACTTAACCACTGCACCACCAGGTCCCCTTTACATCTATCCAAAATATTGTAAATCGATATGTAAAAATAAAAGGAAAACAATAAACATACATAGCTTTAATGCTTTCAGTGAGGTTTGTTTCAAAAGAGAGGAACTGTTTTCCTCTCTTTGTGAAGCCTCTAATCTCAGATCCTGCAGCAATAAAAATTTTCTCCTGAGGCGTGTTAAGAACCCCTCCTAGCTCCAGCCTTGCGATCTTCTGCCCTGGTAAAGTCTTAAAGACTGTCTGCAAAAATAATTAGGGAAACAATTATTAGGTACACAAATTGTTTTACTGTAAGCATTTCCTTTTACCATAAAAAATGCTATGATTTTAAACTTACAAAATGTTATAGTTCCATTATGTGGAAACACTTTTTAGTGAATGTTTTGTTTTTGCTAAATATCTTCAACCTTTGGAATATTTGTTCTTACACATATTTCAATGATATCATTAAATTCTAAACCCTTGCAACTCAAAGTAGGGGTCACTAAGCAGCAGCACAGGTATCACTTAGCTTATTAAAAATGCAGAATCTCAGACCTCACTCCAAACCTGCTGAATGAGAAGCTACATTTTGGCAGATTCCCCAGGTGGTTTCAATACACATTAAAGTTTGAGAAGCACTGGTTTAAATAATACTCCTATCTACAGGAAAGCCTAATTAGCAATTTTTTTAATAGGTCCAATGTACATTTTTTTTAATATAACTTCAATCATCTTTTTAAAACTAATCTTTCCTGGCTTCTTTACAATTTTTATAAATTTTAGTAGGATAAATAAAAGACCATTGAATTTATGTAAAATGTAAATATATAACTTAATACCTATAATCATCTCTCTATTTAATTGGAAAGAGCATTCTCACCATCAATTTCTTCTTGGTTATTTTACATTTTAATATTAGCACCAGTTTCTATCTCTTCCTCTTGCTTCCTCTACACCAATGACTTTATACACAGAGACTAAAATATTTGGAAGGATGTGAGTCAATGTTAAGGCTGGACACGTTGGGTTCGGGTAGTTTCCAGTTCTTCATCTTTTTGTAATGTTCATATTATGTACAATTAATATCAGAGTTCACATCTCAGACCCCTTTGTATATTATGATCTGTGAATATGATGGGATAGTCACGTCCTTGATTAGGTTACATTATGTGGCAAATGGCAGGACAGTCACTTCAATGATTACGTTATATACAACTCCATTTTAGCAGACTAGAGAGAGAGATTTTCCTGCTGCCTTCGAAGAAATAAGTCACCGTGCTGGGAGAGGGCCTGTAAAAAGGCTATATGGCAGGGTATTGCAGGGGGGCTCAGGGAGCTAAGAGAGCCCCTGCTGACAGACAGCAAGAAAACAGGGACATCAGTCCTAAAACGGAAAGGAAGTGAATTCTGTCAACCACAGAAGCTTGGAACAGGCCCTCACGCTCCAGAAATGAATGTAGCCCAGCCAACACGGACACTGCAGCATGTGAGACCTTGATCAGAGGACAGACCTAATGAGTGCCTGGACTCCTGGCCCACTGAAACTGTGAGATAATAAATGTGTGTTCTTTTAAACCTCGAAGTTTGAGGTCATTTGTTACATAGCATAGAAAACTAATACACCGCTACGGGCTGCCAAAGGTATTTTCTGACTGGCTACACGACTTCTGTGCTGCATGCTGCCTCATACAACTCTTCCCTGAAGACCTACTTTCCACTGCATATATTTTAGGAAATTTTTAACCTAAGATTATTCAACAAGTAGTGCATTCCTCCTTCAGAAAAGTTTTTTTCTCCCTGAAAAAAACCTATACTTACCACTGCTTCTCCTTTCTTCACTCCAAAACACATAACTACCCCATCTTGATCTCCAATAACCACCTGTAATAGATTGACAAGATCTAAAATTACTCATATTGTGCCCTATTAATTGTATACGGAGAAAGTAAAACTGTCCATACATAAACTAAGACTTTAAAAGTAGAGACCGGATAATCTAGGAAAGATCCCCTTCCCCCAAAAAGAAATCCTCCAAAGAATTAGAAGAAAGGAACAAAAGAGAAGACAGTCCTTATGAACACTCTGACCATATATTCTGTTCCTCAATATAAACAGAACAAAAGAACATGGATAGAAATTGCAAGGGGGTCATTCTTTTTTCTTAACTGGAGCATAAGAACATCCTAAGATGACTTTCAAAACAGATTATCAAATAAGGTTATGGCTGACATATTTGATAATTTTTAAAAATCTTTTTAATGAAAACTTTCAAATATTCAAAAGTGGAGAAGTTATTATAATGAATTCCAATGTATCCATCACCTGACTTCAGCAATTAATATGTGGCCAATCATTATTTTGAAATAAATATAAAAAATCCAAAACCTATTGCCATCAAATCAATTCCGACTCGTAGCTTTCATCAAATACTCAAAGGGGTTTGTGATCCCTCCAGAAAAGTTTAGAAATCAATGGCCTAAGAGCACGTCCTGTGAAATACCAAATTTTTTTTTTTTTATATTTGAAACTTGTTGTACGTCCTAATATATGATCAATTGTCTAATGTTCCTGTGTGCTTGAAAAGAACATTTATAATTCTTGGTGTGGGTGTTAACACACCGACACACATATGTGTGTACACATATATACATATGTGCATATATATTAGATCAACGGTAATTGTTTTTCTAATCTATATCCTCATCTTTTGTCTACTTGATTATCAATTTCTGAAAATGAATTGGAGTCCTGATGGTGCAGTGGTTAAGAGCCTGGCTGCTAAGCAAAAGGTCGGCAGTTCAAATCCACCAGCCACTCCTTGGAAACCCTATGGGGCAGTTCTATTCTGTCCTATAGGGCGCTATGAGTAAGAATCGACTCAATGGCAATGGGTTTGGGTTTTTTTTTTTTTTTTTGGAATATGTACCTCTATATTTATTTCTCATGGCGACCCTACAGAAATATAAAGGTACATATCAACACTTTTTTTTTTTTTTAGAAACTGATAAGTAGACAAAAGGATATACATTAGAAAAACAATTACCTTTGATCTAATATATATGCATGTATGTATATATGTGTACTTATATATGTGTGTCTGTGTATGTGTGTGTATGAACACCCTCCCCAAGAATTATAGTATAAATGTTCTCTTTAAGCACACAGGAACATTAGAAAATCGACCATGCATTAGGACATAAAACAAGTCTCAAGTATCAAAAAATTGATTATTTCACAGGACATGTTCTTAGACCACTGATTCTTAACTTTCTGGAGGTATCACAAGCCCCTCTGAGTATCTGAAGAAGCTCTAGACTCTCTTCCCAGAACAATATACATTCACAAATAATTATACACATATTCTCAGGGGGCCTTTGGTATTGGTAGAGGTTTATTTTGAGATGAAAATCTATATTAGTTAAGGTTTTGAATTTTTGACAATAAACTACTCCAATAATTTGTAAAACTATATTCTATTACAGGGACTCTCAAAGGGTAGTCCCTGCGCCCGTAGGGGTCACCAAGACTCTTTTAGGGGATCTGCAAGGTCAAAACTATTTTTAAATAATATTAAGTCTTTGTTTTTTCACTGGGTTGATACTTGCACTGACGGTACAAAAGCAATAAACTGAAAAAACCAAACCCATTGCCATCGAGTCAATTCCTACTCATGGCAACTCGATAGGACGGGGTAGCACTACCCCATAAGGTTTCCAAGGCTGTAATCTTTATGGAGTAGACCACTACATCTTTCTCCCGCGGAGCAGCTGGTAGGTTAGAACTGCCAGACTTTTGATCAGCAGCTGAGTGCCTAACCATGGTGTCACCAGGGCTCCTTTGCAAAAGCAATGGTGGGTAAAAAATCGCCAATGACTGGTAAGAAAACCATGACACCAAACTATACCAGTGGTCACTGCATTTTTCATCACCACCTGAGAGTAAAAAAAATGCCAGTTTCACATAAGAATACCCTTGACGAAGCAGTAAAAAATATTAATTTTATTAAACCTCAACCCAAGAGTACTTGTCTTTTTGATACTTAGTATGATGAAACAGGAAATATGCATAAAGCACTTCTGCTGCACACCAGAACAGTCTCAAGGAAAAGCTCTGTGTAATTAAGTTATGAGCTGAACTACCTACTTTTTTCAAGAAACATCATTTTAACCTGAAAGAACAACTAACAGCTATAGTTATTTACACTTGAATATTTAGCATTTTCTTGAAACTGAAGAAAGTGAGCCTGTCACTTCAAAGGAAAAAACTGACAGTATTCGTTGTTATAGATAAAATTGGAGATTTCAAGTGAAACTCAGTATTTTGGAAGATTTGTATCTGCCACTGTGAGCCTGGCAGCTTCCCAATACTTAATGACTTTTCTGATGAGATCAGTAAGGAGCCCTGGTGGCACACTGGTTAATCGCTCGGCTGCTAACCAAAAGGTCAGCAGTTCGAACTCATCGGCGGTTCTGCAGGAGAAAGATGTGGTAGTTTGCTTCCGTAAAGATTACAGCCTTGCAAACTCTATGGGGCAGTTCTGCTCTATCATATAGGGTTGCTATAGTCGGAATCGACTCAACAACAGCATAATGATGTGCGTCAACATAACTCAATGAACCAATAATCTCAAATCACCATTGCAGGATGCAATAAAATCATGCCTGAGTAAAAGATCCGAAGTGCAAGACAGACAAATGGATCTTAATGTAACAGAGTTTGAAAAGTTCATCAACGTGGTTTCAGATTCCACACTGTCCCTAAACTTTAAGAAACTACTGCCTGTCAAGTCTAGGTGTTGTAACAAATAAGAAGAGCCACAATTACCTGGAAAAGTTATTTAAATACTGCTCCCTTTTTTTAACTATGTATCTGCATAAGCCAGATTTTCTTCAAATACTTCAACCAAAACAACATAACAGATTGAATACAGAAAAAAGATATGAGAATTCAGCTGTTTTTGCTTATACCAGGCATTAAAGACATTTGCAAAAATATAAAGTAATGCTACTCTTCCTGCTAAATTCTTTTTACGTTTTGGGAAACACCTTCTTTACACAAAAATGATTACATAAACATGCAATGGATTTATTATTTTCAAATAAAATAATATTTTAAACATTTCTGTTTTAATTTTATATATAAGTATTAACAGATATAACCGACATAAACAAGTTCTTTGAGATCATCAGTAATTTAAGAGTGTAAAGGAATCCTGAGACCAAAATGTTTGCAAATCACTGATCTAACAGGCTGAATACAATAAATGACAATCAGAAACCTGTTGATATATCTTGATAAATAAATACTGTACTTATTTGGAAGCTATTAGCCTACTAAAACCCCCCAAAAAACCCAAACCCACTGCCATGGAGTCAATTCCGACTCATAGCAACCCTATAGGACAGAGTAGAACTGCCCCACAAGGTTTCCAAGGAGCAGTTCGTGGATTTGAACTGCTGACCTTTTGGTTAGCAGCCGAGCTCTTAACCACTGTACCTTAAGGGTTCCATACTAAGAAACTGTAATTGTCTTGTGGAAATCACAGGATAAGTACTTCTATAAGAATAATTAATACTGTTAGTTAAATACAAATGTGTGTACTTAATTATTCAATTAAAATCTCAATTCCTCTTAAAAGTATGAGAAAGGTTAAAGAAATCATTTTCTCTATATCCTATTGTGTTTTACATTTCCTTTTCCATATATGGAAAGCCTGGTGGCGCAGTGGTTAAGAGCGACGGCTGCTAACCAAAAGGTCGGCCGTTTGAATCCACCAGGCGCTCTCTGCAAACCTTACAGGGCAGTTCTACTCTGTCCTACAGGGTCACTATAAGTCAGAACCAACTCGATGGCAACAGGTTTGGTTTCCACAGAAACAATCTGATACACACAGGTACACACAGAGTAAAGTATTACCAGAAAAAAGGGGAATATGGTTTTTAAGTGGTTTGCTTGCATGATTTACTAATTACACATAATAATTATAACGTGCAAGAAAATTATTGTTTGTAAAGTCCCTTAGTATTCCAACCTGTTTCAGTTCCGATTTAGTATTAGCATTTTTAAGACAGTAACTTAACAACGATGAAAGAAATATAAACCTCCCTCTGTCAGCAGTATCTACACAGTACCTTTTGTGTAGCTCTAGGTCTTGAGGCAGGAAGTAGCTTCATAGTCTTCTGAGCGGTCACTCCCACCTAAGAAAACACACCAGCACTTGGTAAATGTTTTCTTACACGTTGTAATTTGAAGTTATTACATCACAGATGAAAAGAATCGGCAATTTCATATCACAGTGAGTCTTATTTTGTTACTGCAATTAATTAGTGATATAACTATTATTATCAATGATAAACTTATATTCCAATGAAATATGTCACAGAAGTGAGAATATGGGAATCAACCAAAAACAGTAAAATTTATCCAGAAAGTTGTCAAGCCAAAAATAATTATGTGACATTACTGATAAGGTGCTTCACAAAAAAATACTTCTAGAAGCCTTCTTTTATAATTTCATACTACTTGTTAAAGAGTTTTTGTAAAGTGATGAAAAATCTTTGGAAACAGATTAGTTTCATTAAAAATGAAACACAGAAAAATTTTACTAAAGTACCACGCGTGCTGATGACATGAAAACATTCAATCTGATGGTAAAGGTTATTTTACATAGGTAGATAGGATGAAAACAGCATGGCTTGTTCAGCAGGGAACTGTCACTAGTGGTACACAGTTAGACGAGAAGGACAGGACTAATGGGAGAGAAGTTGGAGAAAAAAAGATTTATGAAAGAACTTGCATGTAATATAGAGCTATGGTTTTATTCTGTAATTCCAGGGGTGTGGTGTTAACATTTAAGGTAATAATCTCTTCAGATTTGTATTTTTGGAACATCAATCTAGCAAGTACTGTGAAGAATGGACCGAAGGGAGGCGAAACTACAGGCCAGGAGCCCAAGAGGAGGCTATTTCAATTATTCAAGTAAGAGAAGATGAGAATCTGAACTGGGGTAATGCACATGGAGGAAATGGGACAGACTGAAGAAATACTTAGAAGATAAAAGCAGCAAGCTATGGTGGCCAGTTGGATGTGGAAGATACTAACATGGGAGTAGCTAGCATAACTCCCAAACTTCTAGCTTGAGGCAAAGTGACTCGGCAAACATCTGTACTATTAATCTAAATAGAATGACTGGAAACTGACGAGATGGGAAAGAGAGAGAAAGAAGGAATTCAGTTTTAGACCTATTTCTTTGAGGGGGATGAAAGAAATTCTGAGAGACAATGCGGTGTAAGAGAAAGAAAAACTGTAGAATCCAAGACTGTTTCAAATAGCGACTCCCCATCATTGTTAGTATTAAGCAAACTGCTTACCGTCTCTAAGCCCCAGGATCCTCATCTGTAAGATTATCCACTTTGCGGAATTTTTATGAGGATTAAATGTTTATGTAAAACTCCTGAATACACTACGTGCTCACTAATGGGCTGCCACTGCTTTTATTATGATCTGGCTGGCGCGGTCCAGCTCAAAGTTAGGAACAAGGGTCTGGCAGTCGGGGAAGGTACCGGGTAAAGATGGAGATTCGGGAGCTTCAGGCACACACGTAGCTGCAGCCGGGAAGGAGGAGGGCCCTAAAGCGAAATCCGGGGACCCGGCAGCGTCAGGATATTTCAGAGCACCCTCAGCGGGCGCCAGTTCCGCGGGGGCGTGTGTCACTTCTTTCCAAGTCCCGCCGGATCGTCACACACGAGCCGGACCTGTCCGTTCCCCGCGAGAGGGGTCGCCGGGAGAGCGGTACCCGGCCGGGCTCCTTCGCGCCCGCACCCGGAGACCCCGACAGACGTCTACGGAAGAACGAATCCTCTCACGGCGCGGGGCGAACCCTGCGCGGCGCTCGCCCCCCTCCCTCGGATTTACCTGTAAATAATCTGCTCGGTTTAAATTCAGATCCATGACGGCTGCACTGACGCACCGGGCAGCGCTCGGCCAGAACTCGAAGGACAGGCGCTGCGGGCCCCTGGGCCTCGGGCCCCGCGAAGCAGGCAGCCCGCGCCCCTCTCCAAAGGGCAACCACAGATACCGCAGCCTCGGTGGGGATGCTCGGGCGGGACGTTGGGGCGGCGGCGTCTGGCTTGACGTCAGAACGTTCACGCGGGTGGCCCCCAGACGAAAATACGCCCCGCCCCCTTACCGACGGCCCGCCCTCTACCTTAGCCTGCTCCAATCAGAGGCAGGGAGGAACTCAGGACAAGGTCCAGGAGACCAAGGAACGGCGGTTTCCAAGGAGACAAGAGACGCTGTCTTGGCTCCAGCGTTTCCCCCTCCCCCGGCTGTGCTTGCTTTTTTTTCCCTCAGAGTCTTTCTCCTGCTGTGTGGAGCTCAGGTGTGAGGCCTGGGTAGATTCTAACCTATTTCACTGTGTCAGTGGAAAGGGAAGAATTAGGCTCCACTGTTATAAACGTTAGCTTACAACAGCAGTTCTTAAACTTTTGGCCTCAGGCCTCTTTTCCGAAACTCTTAAAACTATTCAGGACCCCAAAGAGTTTTTGTTCCCGTGAGTTATACTGATATTTACTGTATTAGAAATTAGAACTGAAATTTTTTTATTTCATTAAAAAGAAACCCACTGCATAGATTACATTTTAATGCAAAATATAGTTTCCAAAATGAATTTTTAAAAAAGAGTGCATTGCTTGCAAATCTATTGACTGTTTTCCTTAATAGTAGACAGCAGAAGTCCCAGATCTGCTTCTGCATTCTATCTATTGCTATTTGTTATTTTTGTTGAAGCATATGGAGAAAATTTGGCCCAAACTCAGTAAGTGGTAGTTTTTGAAAGGTTAATTGCAACATGGAATCTGGCTTTTATGATACAATATCAAAAATCAAAAAATCCCATTTGTTAAAATCACCACAAACCTCTTTGGAAAGCTATCAAATTCATATGGTAGATACAAATTTTCCAAAATTCTAATTTGTACTTGAAAACTCAATTTCAAGCATTGACAACAAATGTCAATTGTTTTCCTTGAGCTGATAGGTCCCTTCTTGAATTAATGAGAAAATGTATGCTAAATAACAAGTCCAAATAATCTTAGTTTGTTTGTCAGTTGTGCTTTGAAATAAAAATAGTGTTCCATGAAAAAAGCAGAGTTCAGCTAGCAACTCAAATAATCACACAAGTGCATTTCCTAGAGACAATCAATGTACTTCGGTATTCAGCAGAAGTGCTTTATGCATACTTTCCATGTTATCACACAGAATATTAAAAAAAAGGCATGTACTCAAGAGTTGAGACTTAACAAGTTTTACTGCTCCATGAAGGACATGTTTATATTAAACTTTTTTTGCTTCCTGCCAGTGTGTGGCATGAGGGATACAGTGACCACTGATACAGTTTCGAGACATTGGCCTTGATTCATGCTTAGGCACTAGCAGTATTAACCATCATTGCTTTTGTACTATCAGTGCAAATGTCAACAGTGAAAAAGGCAAATAATGTCTTTGTGTTATGAAAATAGTTTCAAAATTGCAGATCCCCTGAAAAGGCCAGAGAGATCCCCAGGGGTCTGCAGACTAGACTTTGAAAACTGGCCTATGGTGAGCTGGTGGCAAAGTGGTTAAGCATTTGGCTGCTAACCCAAAGGTCTGCAGTTTGAATCCACCAGTCACTCCTTGGAAACTCTACGGGCAGTTCTACTCTGTCCTATAGGGTCGCTGTGAGTCGGAATCGGCTCAACGGCAGTGGGTTTGGTTTTTGTTTTTTTATGGTGTTCTAGGACCTGACTGAGAGCTGATATTCCTTCACTACAAAGCGATCTGCCTGTAAAAATTCAGATGAATAAGATAAAGCCCTTTTCCTGATTTCTGTGATCTACTAGAGAAGAGTTCACGAATGATTGTGAAACAAGATAAGAAGAATTAAATCCCTGAGAAAAAGCGTTTCTCAGGAAGAGAAATTATTTCCTGCAGAAGGATCTGAGAAGACTTTGCCTAGGTTCCATTATGTTCTGGATAATCCCTTTTCTGAGGCTAAAATAACTCCATTTTAAGATAGACAACAATACATGAAGATGGGTTAAGTGTTTAGCGATTTTGGGGAAATACATATATCAATTTAGACTCCACAGAAAAATACTTACCAGAAAAATTTTATAAGTTAACAGAAAAATAAAACCATAGAGGAGATCGGAGAAAACAATATAGTATAGAATTTAAGATATTGGAAGGGAACTGTCTCATCTCAGAAGGAATACAAGAAATCACAAACAAAATCAAATATGAAAAATAATGGTTAAACATTACTATGTGTCACAAAAATAAAAAATATGAACAAAAATTTAGGGAAATATTTACAAAGAGTTAATATCTTTAAACAAATTAATACAATTAAGAAATACTATGACTCCAATAAATAAACAGGTGAAAATATGAACAGACAATTCACAAAAGAGGTGACTACTGAACAAACATATAGAAAACAATTACCCTCACTGTAATCCATCATATTAAAGCAAGGTATCTTTTTATTTTGCCTTTCAAATTGGAATGTAGGTTTAAATAATAACACTGTGTGCTGTCGAAGGAGCATGCTCGTCAACTGCTTGTGATGCTCTAAACTAGTAACAAAACCTTTCTCAAGATCTATTTAGCAGTATGTATACAAACCTATAACGATGTGACTACATTTTTACCCCATAACTCTATTTCTGGATATTTAGTCTATGAAAACAACACGAAGTACTTAAGAAGTCATAATTGAAACAGTCTCTAAATTAGGGACCTAACTGTTCAATAATAGGGGAATGGTGCATCCACTTTGTGGACTATTGTACAGCCATTGAAAGCGAAAATGATGAAGGCTGTATAGCAATGTGAAAAGCATTCCAGATATAATGATTAGTTAAAAAGCAGGATATAAAATGGTGTGTATACTATGATCACAATTGTGTGAAAGGACTGTTGAGAAATACATCAAAAAATTTTAGTTGGTTGTTAATTGAAAGATTATGGGCTTCCCGCCTCCCCCTATTTTCCATGTTTTCCATAAAATGCTCGTATTATTTTTAATAAAAATTTTCATTTTAAAAATAAACTTTTTAGGAAGAAAAAGGAAAGTTAATAACCAAGAGATTAGAAGAATCACCTGTTTAACTCAGTGCATGGTTGCCACGGTAGACGCTTCACTTTCCCGGTGATAGCAACACGCTGGTAAAGTGGGATCTAAGGCGGACGGTAGCAAAGCCTCCCGCTGTCTATTTTCTTGTTTACCTTCTCAGGTACTAGCAATGCATGTTAACAAATTAAGGGAAATGGTACTCATATCATTATTATCACGTATTTGCATTATAACCAACCAACCATCAAAATACTGAAAACCTGCTGAAGCAGGCAGAAATTATTTTTTAAAAAATTACATTTGGGGAGTATGATGAGTATCCCATGGCTGGATAAAATCTTAGGGACCATCTAATCCAGTGTTCATTTTTTGTTTTGTTTTTTTTTATTCATAAACTTCTTTCATTAGAATACATAATTTCTCAAAGCTCTTAGGAATTTTTAAAATTATGTCATTTTATCACTGAACATGAGAGAAAGATAATTTTAAAGAAAACGTATTTTGAGATTGCTGTATTATTTCAGAGAGCTAGATAGGTAGTTGCCATCCAGATAACTCTGACTCATGGCCACCTTGTGTACAACAAAACAAAACGTTGCCTGGTCCCGCACCATCCTCGTGATTGTCAGCATTTAGAGTTCATCATTGCCGCTATTGTGCCAGTTTATCTCACTGAGGATTTTCCTTGCCCTCGCTGGCTCTCTACTTTACCAAACATGATATCCTTCTCCAGGGATTGAGCCTTCCTGATGACATGTCCAAAGCAAGCAAGTCAGACAATGTTCTGTTGTGATCCATAAGGTTTTCATTGGCTAATTTTCAGGAGTAGATTGCCAGGTCTTTCTTCCTAGCCTGTCTTAGTCTGGAAGTTCTGCTGAAACCTGTCCACCATGGGTGACCCTGCTGATATTTGAAACACCAGTGGCATAGCTTCCAGCATCATAGCAACATACAAGCTACCACAGTAGGACAAACTGAAAGACAAGTGGTGGATTATTTTGGTAGCATTATAAAAATCTATCTTTATACACTTTTTACAATATTTGTAGTAAAAACATATATTGGCAAAGTTAATTTTCCATTTAACAAGTGAAGCCCATGTTTATTTTACTTTAAATTAATTATTTTAAAAATGTAAGCATTTATTTTAAAAATCAAATTTATTTTAAAACATTGAAGTAAAGCTATGTTATGACATTAAAAATGGACAAAAAGATCTTGCCTAATATGATATTTGGAATTATTTCATCTTGTATATAAAAAAAGGCAAGTAATTTATTATGCATTTTAAATGCTGTGTTTTGTTTCAAAATGATTAGCAGAAGTTTCAAACTATTAATTTTGATGATTTATCAAATCATTCATAGGTACGGGGAGCTTTTATTCACAGTAAATGAAATGTCAAGTTAGATAAAATTGCCACTATACTTTCTCTTTTAAACATGATTTAAGGTATTAGAAACATCTTGGTAGGCTATGTAGAAATCAACACAGGATGACTACATCTCAGATTTCATGCAGATGTCCTTGAGACAAATTTGCAAAATTATCACGCTCCTCAGTAACTTGTAACTTTATGTTGTGGTCTTAAAGCAACCATTACGTGTATAAATTAAACAATTTATGACTAGGAATAAAAGCAATTTAAATTGCATTAAAGTTAAAAGTATCAACATAGCTAGCGGTGGTCTGTTGAATGACTGAGTCATAAATACACGTTGGTCTCCATTAACACGCTTCCTTGGTACAAATTGGGAAACGCTCAAACTCTTATTTTTAAATAAAA